AAAGCACCCAACATTGTTAAAATTCTTTGATACATTATTTATAATTCACGAAAAGTTTCATTATTTTTTATTTAAATAGTGATTATTATTATTTAAAGATTGGTAAAACTCTGTTATTTAAATTATTATAACATACATTTAAAGTTAAAATTATTTAAAATTTAGATTATAAAATAATCAAAGTACTAAGGCTTTAACTGTATAGATGCTCAATATATGTGATGGGCTTCTATAACATTAATAATGTTACATTTACTTGGGCACTCACCAAATAGATTGAAATAAATATACGGCTGGATTACCTTTAAAACCTCCTATGCACTAAAATTACAAAGTCTAGTAAATACTTAATGCTTACTATTATATTATATTTTTATCAGTGTAAGAGATTTTTGAAAAAAGGACAAGAATAATAATCTTATAATAAATATTTTTGTTCTCTTGTTCGTTACTATGAATTTACGATGTAAGCCATTGATATCCATTTCATCAACCATGCTCCAACGAATATTTTCTACAATGGCTATGTAGCTTTAAATCTAAACCTCAACAAAAACGACTGTGGAATGTTACATTACTGATTCTCTTAAATGATATGTTTTTTATATAGCTGTTCCAAAACCTTTATACTTGATAAAGTATTGATGTGTATTGCTTCAGATCTTCGTTTATCCTACCAGTGTAAAGACTAACGTAGTAAAGTTAAAATGCAGAACGTCTCCTAATCATAATATTTGAATTACATGATAAGATTCACTATACCTGTTCTGGATTAAGTTGAGGCCTCTTGAAAACTTTTTCATAATTTTTCTGGAACCATAGCAAAGAGAGGTGTTGCGACTTCTCTTCTATTTCTTTTAAAACACGTTCCTTTCTTACATCCATTTTCCACGGAACCAATTTTGCCTTCTACTAGAATTTCGTCTTAGCTAAATTACAAAAATTTGTTATATAACGCTACTTACATTGTATAAATGTCATATTGTTGTACCATATGCTTTAAAACTTTGTCATTTCCTTATTTTAGTACTCTGAGTATCTTCACAAAGGCGTTTGCTGTTGTTTTGAAATCTGTATTATAATTAATCAAAGGTAAAATAAAATATGAACTCTCACATATCATTAACTCACAGTTTGATCACAATTCTACTCGTCCTAGAAAATAGAAAAAGTAGTTAAGTTTCCTGAATCCGTACTCACCGTACAACCACTTCCACACTCTTTTATAAACAGAACGATGAATGATTTAGATAGCCCAGTCGTTTTAATGACAGACTCTAAATTACTATTTTGACAAAAAATACCACTAAGGTATATTTAAAGAAAATAATTCTTTATTGAAAAATGTTCCAACTGAGGAGATGATCGATCCAACCTGTAAGTAGTTAATGCTTACTCGTTTATTTTTGCTTCCTCACTACCGAAGGTAGGGAAGCATTGTGTTCGTGCGAGAGATTAAAAAATTTTTTTTGCTCAGAATCGAAAATTTTCACTCGCGTTTTACGTTTCAGACATCAAGGATCAAATTTGGTTCTGTGTCTGACTGTCTGTCTGTCTGTCTGTCTGTAGTCAAATCGATGTGACGGGCATATCACCTAGTACCGTTCATCCAATCTTCATGAAATTTTCAGGGATTATGCTGATTGGTGCTTAGATGGTCCCATATCAATTTTATCAAATTCCATTAAGCAATTCCGCTTACGCACGCGCAAACATATATTTTTAGATATGCTAATATTTCAGAAAGGGCTCGTTCGATTTGGCTCAAAGTTAGATAAAAGGTAGACTTTGGTGAAAAAATAATGTAGTGTCAATTTCATTGAATTGCGTCCAACACTTTCTCTTATATGTGCACTACTAGTCCGCCGTCCGCCGTCCGCGCATTTTTTCTGAAACTACTAGACCGATTTTTTTCGAATTTGGATATAAAATCAAAGGTCACCCGAGGATCATCCTCCTTCGACGACATTACTATTCGCCTTCTAGTTTCAAAATGGCGGCCGAAAAACCTGCGTTGCTATTGACTGTAGCGCCTAAACGAATGTACCGATTTTGATGAAACTTCGCTAGTCATTTTCTCTACGCCCTATAAATTTATCTATACTACATACTTCAACGAAAAGAAGCTCAAAAAAAGTTACGAGGGATGGTAAAATTAAATTCCAAATAACTCAAGAATTATACACATTTATGTCAATATGTTTTTTTAGAAGTTTACGGAATTTTCTAAAAAACAAAACAAATTTCGTCAAAATCGGACAATTAGGAGCAAAGATATGGTCTCTAGTTTTTTTTAGATGTGCTATTGCAAAAGGTTTATCTTTTTTTTTATTTCTGAATGTGTTACTGAAGTAATGCTATTTTTTTTAGCATATTACTAATGATTAACAAAAATTTTAGTCCAATAATTAGAATCACCTTTTATTTATTTTTATTTATAACTAGGAATTTAATGTTACTTTATATGTATAATTGTTTGGAAATAATATACCAAAGAGAAATAATTTGCAATGGTTTTTTTCAAATTAATATCGTTATATATATATATATATTATATATATATATATATATATATATATATATATATATATATATATATATATATATATATATATATATATATATATATATTATGTATATATATAAATCTTTCGTGCTGAAGCCCCTCTTTCAAAATTAAATCTTGATTCCGTAATGTATATACTATTATTAGAGCATAAGTTCGTATGTAATAATTTTCAACTTTAATTCTATGTTTATTAAAGGTGATATTTTGTAGTCTGCAACTGATATAAGTAGTCTGCTACTATGGAAAATAGCAGATGAAAATAAAATATGAAATTATTCTAATAAAGCATAAAGAAATATTGAATTTTTATGCACTCTTGTAAAACAATAAATAAATTTATACATAAGACCTTTTGAACTAACAGTATTGAAATTCATGTTCAGTATGCATATTTTTTTTTATTAAGCATAATCAAGTACGGAATATTCAAATACGACCCTATGTTGTTGAATGTTGAAGGGTAACTGTAATCGGCTATTCCGATTCTGCTTCTCTCAGAGATTTTATTCTCATACGAAAAATTGTATACCTTGTAATATACAACGGAAACGGTGAGGAAGTTATACTGACCTTACTTGGCAGACGTTTTATACTTATAACGAGTGGTATTATATTTTTAACAATATAAGAATTTTTCAAAAATAATAATGTTAGAATAAACGTTTTTGTTTTCTTGTTAGTTTCTATGAATTTACGAGGTTTTAGAGGTCATCATTTGATATCAACCATGTTCCAACGAATATTTTCAATAATGACTATGTAGCTTTCAATGTCTCTTCAACAAAAACGAGGCAACTTTGGAATTTTACATTACTGATTCTGCTAAACGATATATTTTTTATATTTCAGATCATTTTCTATTTTTTATATTACATAGAAACTAACAAGAGAACAAAAATGTTTATTATAAGATTATTATTCTTGTATTTTTTTAAAATCTCTTACATTGTTAAAAACATAATACCACACATTAAGTATAAAAATAAACGAGTAAGCATTAAGTACTTACAAGACTTTGTAATTTTAGCGAATCTTATGTTTGATCGATCATCTCCTCGTTTGGAACGGTTTTCAATAAAGAATTATTTTCTTTAAATATACCTTAATGGCATTTTTGTCAAAAGAGTAATTTCGAGTCTGTAATTAAAATGACTGGACTAACTAAACCATTAACCACTCTGTTGATAAAAGAGTGTGAATAGATTTATACGGTCAGTATGGATTGAGGAAACGACTTTTTTTTTTCAAAGTTATTTTTCTAAAATAACACCTTTTAAATTAGCTTATTAATTTTTTTTTTTTTAATAACTTGTCCGTACAAGTATGTTACGTACCTACCTGTAGGTCTCCCCTTATTAAGGAGCTATGGTCTACCTTCCCGCGTGGCCAGCCTTTGTAGGAAGCAGGGGCAGGATTCGATCCTATGATCTTTACTTTACTAGTATAGCACTAACCACGCTCACCACTCTGCTATGACGGCCCTATTAATTAATAATTAATCATGAATTACTTTTAAATAAATTTCCCTATCATTAGTTAACTGTTTTTTAAACGAGTAAGAAGGATTTAGTCAGGTAAAGTGTTTATTCTTTTTCGTAAACCATTGACCAGTTGAATTCTCATTTTGCAGATACAGGGTATGCTGGCTATATTAATATGTTTAAAGAAATATTTTCGGTAGGTAGACTAGAATCGTTCATTTATGAATAGAATCATTCATAAGAAAAAAAAAAATTCTGTACTACTACAACCTGTGGAAGGTCTTGGATTCAGCACTTTGTTAGGGAATACTGTTTTGGGGTCAACAGTTGCGCAAGAAGGTGGTTTGACTGAAATCACGCCCAATTTCCAAGTTTTTTCCCAATTTTAGTATGGCCTTAAAAGTGGCATTAGTCGTGGGTTTAATAATAATATTTTTTAAAAACTGTGATCCATCTCTAACTTTACTTTAATATTCGTATTACTACAACCAAAGAAACATTAAATATATCTATGCTATAAAGAATAGGAAGAGTACTTCACTTACAATGGAAATTTATTATAACTTAACAGTAAAGGATAAATGATGCGATTTAGGATTCTAGTCTAACAAAACCTACATGTTAAGTATTTTTTATGTAAAAGTTCCTTAATAACATTTAAATTTGTGTGAATTATCCGTATCTATCCAAAGATTGAATCTATGAGGTATTTAAATTATAAAAATACTTTTCTATAGTTGTGAATATCATGAATAAATAATATTTAAAAAAATACTTTTCTCCCAATGTTTTTTTTAAATATTGAAATTTAAGATTTTTCCAACATTTTATTTTATGCGACCTCTTATTGGCACAATAAAAGGATTGAGAAAAAAAACAGTTTATAAAAAAGGTAACATTTATTTATAAAAAAATATAATTACAACAATTAAAAAAGTCCAGTCTATTTACTATCTTGAGTATCCTGAGAATCCATGGTCCTGCGCTGTATAGTCTTGTCCTCCGAGATCCTGCGATGGGTATCCGTAACCTCCGTTTCCACCTCCGTTTCCGCCACCTTGGTGCTGTGGTTCTGGGTACGTTGCCGTTCCTTCGTACCTCACGTCGGCGTGGAATCCGGTTTTCCAGTCAGCGTGATAGGTGACGATCTGTGTCCTGCCGTCGGGTAGGACGACCCTGTAGCTTCCTTTGACGTTGTGTCCGTCCGAACTCTCTTGCTGTCCGAAGTCTGTTCCGTGGTGAGGGTCTTTTACTGCATAACCGAACTCATAGGGATGAGCCTATAGGAAAATAAAAAAAAATAAACTTAGGTCAGTGATTAGTTATTATTGAAATCAGGGTTTGAATTTGTTTTAAAAGTTCCATTTTAACAGTTTCTCGGAAACTTTTTGAGTAAATGATTTCTTAAAATAAAAGTCCTAAGGAATTTTTTTTTGCAATAAAGTTCCAGATTAGACTTATAATTTGTCTTAAATGAATCATATATGATTCTAATGTGTCATTTGTTTGAGTAGCTAAGAATAAAAGCCATTTTTAGATTGACTTTTTAGCGAAATCTACAGGACTTTTAAATAAAAGTTTTTGAAAATAAAAGAACAGGAAAACCAACAATTGAAAATTTGAAAAAATACAGTAAAATCCAGTGATACCGAAACTTTTTTTAGAAAAGTTTTTTTCCGTTAAAATCCTGATTGAAACTGATTTTGGGGTAAAGCTTACAATTATAATTAATAAAAATACAATTTTTAAATCAAATTAATTATTTAGGCATGCATTTTAAAATGTCAGCATAATATATTATTTTTCTGTTGTATTTTTTTTAATCTGAAAATAATCCTGTAAACATACTAAGTTGTCTTAATTACACTAACAAAAAAATATTGATTCAGGTCTACCAGTGTATGAATTTAATGGTACCGTTTACTATTATATATTTTCTTGAAACCAATTACTTAGCTTCAACAATATTATCAAAATTCTTAAACATTTATATCTGGGACAATCTTAGCGATAGTGCTTTTTAGCTCTTTAAAAAGATTTGAAGTGAAAGCTCGGTGAACTAAATCAGAACCGAATTTCTCCAACAGAAAATTCAATTATCGTAATTCAATTTATTAATTAGTTATTATTTTATTTATTATAGTATTACTATTTATTTATTCTACAAACTTTAAACGAGTCCGTAGTTACAGACAATATATTTTTTTAAGGGTATCTTTTGTATGGGATTAAACCCCACTTTGCCAGGTGTTAAAAGTTTTATTTATTGTTAAAATATTCATATATATCTCATTAAGCCGATCTGAAAATAAATAATACATATATTATTGACATAAGATATGTAAAGTGCTTCAATTTTTTTGTATGCATCAACAGAGATTTTCATCTTAAGAACTTGAATGTACTTTATAACGTTCAGTTGGTCTACATTGTTTTTGAGTTGGCTGTAAAAATACTTGGATGACTCGTTTATTGGGCCAACTAATGAACATTTATTTTATTTTTATTTTGTTTTGTTAACCAAGCATAATAAAAAAAAATTCTCGCCCTAGTAGGGTGAATTCGTATTAAAAAGAATAAGATAAATGACCGTTTGCTGTACTTATATGATCTTATGTATTAGAATTAATAAATAAAATATCATAGTCCCAAAAAAATCCATTTCGTGGTCAATTTAAATTTAATTGTATCAATTTAGGAATTCGTTTTATTTATTTTACTTAAATACACGACTTCTAAAGATGATATTTAAATAAGATTTGAAAGAGTATGACGACCTTATAGCGCTTCGTTGATCCGATATCTCTTGTATACCATTAACCGAAAAGCCTAGTATCTAGCAGCTTTGAGTTCAGGCATATTAGATAAGCCACTGTGCCTAGAAGATACAAGTTAGCGGAAAGATACCACAATGGGAAACGTCCATTGTTGGATATTCTCAGCAACTCGTCATTCAAACGAGCAGCTGTAGTGCTCACGTAAGGATGCGCCATAGCTTCCCTGTGGGATGCGGGCCACTTTTCATACAATATGGTCACTTTCCATATCGTTACGTCTAAAGCTCAACACAGCAAGGGCCTCCTACGTTACTACTGTAAAAGTAACGCTTGCCGTATTAAAAAGTAGCTTTAGCTATAATTTGTTCTATCCTCCGATCAGCAGATGGAACTGCTTCGTTTAACAACTTCATGCTCCAGAAGTAATTTCTTAATCTTCGCGTTTATCAATTATCAAAATGTTTAGAAGCGATTGGGCTATTTTCTAGAATGCCATAACATGATTCATAACCGAATTTTTTCCCAAAGCTAATTTCAAAGTGTGTTCGTCCAAGAGAAGAACTTTCCTCTGTTTCATAGCGTCGCAGAGAAAGATCTCCTGACAGGAACTGATTGCTTTGTGTATAAGAAGGATACGTGAAGAACGTAAGCTCGCCATTACATCGTCAGCTCAACGACAGGGACAGGCTTCACAATCGGACTGCGACTTTCCTCACATTATGTCCAGGACTATATCAGCCTCAAACTAGTACTCTCCTTTAAACGATTTAACACTTTCACTTCTTTGGTGTACAACTTTGTGGAATGCTCATGTCTTTGGGTGATGGCTGGCAGTATTTTAAGTATTTTTTCTGAGCACGTAGAAGAATTTTAACCATCAACCGAGCAAAATTATTTGAAACTTTCTTTAATTTTCTGCAGCTGTTATCAGGTACTTATCGATAATTAGGTATGCGCTAAATAAAAATTCTGAACTTACAAATTAGTAAAGATAAAAAAACTAATAATAAATAAATTATCGATTAGATTTGACACTGTTAAGAGTTATGATAATAAAATCTGTTAAATGCTAAAGCTTTTTATACAATCATAAATGGGCAATGTATATTTACACCATTAAACGAGAACCAATGATATATTGATAATATTCATCATTTAATAATTTCTATAAGCTTTTTTTACATTAATGAAAACTGTTTTCTTCTCCCTCTGAATTCTTTTAGGTAATGAAATAATTATTCCTCGATTAAATTTCTAACAGTTTTAATAAAATTAATGGAAAAGTAAGCTGAAATAATTATATTTATTACTCATTATATTATATAATATTTGAGCTAATAATGTGCAAAATATTAGCAGGATTCGGAAGATTTTCTGTTTAGTGGTTAACATTATAGAACACAAAAACAATTGTAATCTATCGGAAGTACATGAACGTCATGGCAGAGCAATTACAATAGGGGTGGTTAGCTGTGTTGAATTGTGAAGGGAAAAAGTTAAAAACAAAATTATACAATGATATTCCTTCCTCCGAAATCAATATTAATATTCAAGAAAATATCTTTCAACAACAATCATAAATTTATATTTTAAGGATTCAAAAAATAAAAACTGATTTAGAGATTCTGTTATTAAGTTCATTGTTGAAGTTTTGCAGTATCGTCTTATTCTATAGTACAAAAGTATCTTGCAATCATATATTTTTATTGAAGGTTTTTGGATTACAGTAAGACATCGGCGGTCGTTGCCGCGAGGTACTTTACGAAAGGGGTGTTCCGAAGAGGGTTTCATATCAAAATTTTTGAGGGGGCATATTTTGACAGTTTTTTTTTAATTTTTGAGGGGGGCAAGGTTCGAACAGTTATGAATTTTTGGACGAAGGGATAAGGGGAAAAACATGGAACATACCGAAGTAAGTATAATTGTATATGATCTACGCCTTTTTTAATTCTACCTTAGCTTGCTCTATTTTTAAGAAAATGTGAGCAATAATATATCTTTGGTGGAAGGGGAATGGGTAGGTAATTTTGTCATCGATCTTGGGGGAGGGCACTCCTGCTTTCCGATGGAAAAAGGAAATTCCAGTATCCGTCCTTTCAAAATACGATTTTTTAAAATTTATTTATAAATAACTTATTTGACCCATTTCCAAAAATTACGCAACAAAAAACAAATTTTCAGAATTCACCATATAACAAGTTGCATGATTAATGTGGCGTAAACAGGCTTTTTGCTTATATTTGACTGAATATCCTTGAAACTGTGTTTTTATTCGTGCCTAAACTTTAGGAATATATGATGTTAAATATGTCAGACAATAAAAACATAGAAATTTCAATTGTCATTACACCTTGAAATTAGGATTTTGTCGCTCTCCAGACGACTGTGTGGCGTAGTGATTTCAGTTTAAGTTCTGTTTTGCAGATGACGAAACATTACATTACAAAACTTTACGTAAAAGTTGTGAGTTCAACGAAAGGGATCGAAGAGATATAATTTAGATAATGAAACTGGAAGTTGTGATGGACTACATTAGAGAAGATCCTTGATACGGCGCGACTATTGCGTTGCAGGAGCAGCGGCTGTATAATTAGGATGGATCAGGAAACCTGCGCGTTCTTCTTATCGCCAGTAAATCTGATTATTCAAGAACCTGGGAGCTCTCCTGCTTATTAATCGAGGAGGCAGAGCTTTGTTAGAGGAGGAAAGTGGAAACATGGAGGATGTGGCCGATGCGCCTAATAGCCTCCATATTCTCATTCGTTAATATGTTCCCGAACGGCTCATTAAGCCCTTCGGGCGGACTCGCGAAAGCCTCGGAGAAATCGGCACGTCCCACGGATGAGATTGCTCCTGGGGCAAGGTCTTTACTCCTTCGCTTCCTACAAAATGCTTCCCTGATCCAGGACAAACCTGATTTAGCACGTATGGCTGCTACTAAGGAGTATACTTTAGGTTAAACATTTTTCAACTTTTGTAACTTTCTCATTGTCAACAACCGTTTTATTGTGTTTTTTTTTATATTATTGTATTAACTCCTGATGTAAAGATTATACGAAAATGCTACCAGTTAAAATGCTCCTTCACCTGACAGATAATTTTTTTCGTTAGGTATAGTTAAACCTTTAGACCTACTGATGTAATTGAAAATATTTTTCATTATTGTGGGACTTTTGTCCATGCAAAATAAATTATAATGAATACAGAATGGATGCCAGTGCGCTCATACATAAATTAAATATTTACAATGATAGCTAATTAAAAGTAAAAATACAGAAAAAGAGAGAGAGAGCATACATATATATAAAACAGACATAGTATGTGCAATTTTAAATTTCAAAATCTCTTTATTACAGTGGTAAATTTATTTTGATTAGTATTATTTTTCGAACAAACATTATTCAACTTGTATAACTGGACTAAAAAGCGAAATCAGAGGTAAATTTTGCAGTGTAATATATTTCTTTTAGCAGTTAGTAGATTCCTGTCTTTTCTAATGAATG